AAAGAGGTCTCATGGGGGCGTTTCAGATGGGGGGATTTCAGCCTTTGCAGGCCATTTACATGCACATAAACCTATAGCACATTTCAGGGAAGTGAAAACACCCAAACTTAATCAATAGCTCCATATGTTATGGGGAAGAGGAGACCTCTGTGGATAGTTTTTTTTTTTTCCCTATGCTGTTTCTGTATGCGGTCTGCTTTGTGATTAGTCCTGAGTGTGACATTTTAGAATAGCAGTGTTCATAAAATAATAGGTGAAACACTGGTAGAATCATAAAAATGAATAGGCAACATGTTTGATAATTGTCTTTCTTTTTGTAAAACAATTCATAGTTCTCACTTCTCAAATTGAAAGATGTGCTGCTTTTCCTTGTAAGTAATTCTGGAGTGTTTCTGCATTAGGTTATTTTCCTTTTAATGCATTGAGTCACCTTTCCTAACTATACCATAATCCTTCTACTTAAGAAACACTCTCAATGCAGGACTTTTACTTGGAGTATTTTTACAGTGTAGTATTAGTACTGTTATCAGGTATATGGTCTGAATACTTCCTCCACCTCTGCTACAATGTGTTAATTACAAGCAACCCTAAAGCCTGCTGAGATTGACGGGTCATTTAAAGTCAGGAAATCACCTCAGATTGTACCAAATGTCATGTCAATTTAGTTGAGATATTTCAGTCTGAACCACAGTCAATGACAGGAAATCATTTATTCCATTTCATATTCAGAGTCAGTAAGGACTGACAAGAAATGTCTGGTAACTGCAGTCCAAAAGCAACACAGTAAATAATTATTACCTAAAAATGACTTGTGACTTAAAGAGTTAGTCCATTAGTTTATATTTTAGAGATGCATTTTGTTAAAAGTATCTAAAGCTGTTAAATAATTGTTGTGGAACTAAATGTACATTATTTCCCTTTTGAATGTAGTGGAGTAGAACAAAATATAATAACATACTCAAGTAAAGCACTACCTCAAAATTGTACTTAAGTATAGTACTTGAGTAAATGTACTTAGTTACTTATCACCTCTGGCTTTTGGAGCCAGAATACACACTCATGTTCGGAAATAGGGATGCATACAGCATCAAACCGATTATAGTTTTAATTTAAATAAAACCGTTGTCCCACTGTTGTTTTGCCTGTTTGTACTTCTTCACCACTTGCCACCTTTTGGTAGTGCCAAATAACACTGAAATATTTGGTGATATCAGCATAAATCTCAAAACCATTCTGAAAACAAAGTTCAGTTTCTAACTGATGCAACAGTCTCAAATGTTTTGTCATTATTACTTTTTAATCTTTAAATTATGTATTGAAAATGTTTTGCTTTTAGTTATTTTCGGTAATGCAGTCCATTGGATTTTTTTTGTAATACATTAAATTACATTTAGCTGACGCTTTTATCCAAAGCGACTTACAATAAGTGCGTTCGACCAACAAGATACAAACTTGAAGAAAACAGAATCATATAAGTACATCAGGTTTCATAGAGCAAAAACATTTCAAGTGCTACTCAACTGGCTTTAGATAAGCCAGTCCTTTATTAGTATATAAGTGCTTTGTGAGTAATTATATCGCTCGAAGTGGAGTCGAAAGAGATGAGTTTTCAGTCTGCGCCGGAAGATGTGCAAGCTTTCTGCTGTCCTGATTTCAATGGGGAGCTCATTCCACCATTTTGGAGCCAGGATAGCAAACCCACGTGTTTTTGCTGATGGGAACTTGGGTCCCCCTCGCAGTGCGGGTGCAGCGAGCTGTTTGGCTGATGCAGAGTGTAGTGCACATGCTGGGGTGTACAGTTTAACCATGTCCTGGATGTAGGAAGGGCCAGATCCATTCACAGCATGGTACCAGTGTCTTGAAGTGGATTCTAGCAGTTACCGGAAGCCAGTGAAGGGAGCGGAGGAGCGGCGTGGTGTGGGAACATTTATGAAGGTTGAAGACCAGACGAGCCGCTGCATTCTGGATGAGCTGCAGAGGTCGGATGGCACATGCAGGTAGACCAGCCAGGAGGGAGTTGCAGTAGTCTAGGCGTGAGATGACAAGAGCCTGGGCCAGAACCTGCGTCGCTTTCTGGGTCAGCTGGGGACGCATCCTCCTGATGTTGTAAAGCGTGTATCTGCAGCAGCGGGTTGTAGCAGCGATGTTTGCAGTGAAGGACAGTTTGTTATCTAGGGTCACACGCAGATTCCTTGCAGTCTGAGTCGGGGAAACAACAGAGGTGCCGATGTTGATTGTTAGGTCAATAGTGGGACAATCTTTTCCCGGAAGGAAGAGCAGCTCAGTCTTGTCAAGGTTGAGCTTGAGGTGATGAGCAGACATCCACTGAGAGATGTTCGCTAGACAAGCAGAGATGCGTGTGACGACCTGGGTCTCTGAGCGGGGAAAGGACAGAATTAATTGGGTGTCGTCAGCGTAGCAGTGGTATGAAAAACCATGCAGGCTAATGACAGATCCGAGCGAATTTGTGTACAGGGAGAAGAGGAGGGGACCAAGAACAGAGCCCTGAGGGACCCCTGTAGTTAATTGACAAGGGTCGGACTCCGACCCTCTCCAAGTAACCCTGTAGGTATGGTCTTTGAGGTATGAGGTGATGAGGGAAAGTGCAGAGCCTGAAACTCCAAGTTCTTGGAGAGTGCGAAGGAGGATCTGATGGTTCACCGTGTCGAATGCAGCAGACAGGTCCAGAAGGATGATGACAGAGGAGAGGGAGGCTGCTTTAGCCGTGTGCAGTTCCTCAGAGACAGCAAGGAGGGCAGTTTATGTTGAGTGACCTGCCTTGGAACCAGACTGGTGCGGATCCAGAAGGTTGTTCTGATGGAGATAACAGGAGAGTTGTTTAAAGACAGGAACAGGAAGGGGAACGGGAGGAGAGAGACAGGCCTGTAGTTTATAACATCAGACGGGTTGAGAGTGGGTTTCTTTAGGAGAGGGTTTACTCTTGCCTCCTTGAGACTGTTTGGAAAGTGACCAGAAGTTAGAGAAGTCTTGATTAAATGGAAGAGAAACGGTAGAATATCAGGAGCGATAGTCTGAAGGAGGTTTGAGTGGATAGGGTCCAGAGGACAGGTGGTAGGGCGGGCAGAGGTAATGAGGGTAAGAACCTCACTTGGAGAGAGAGGGGAAAAGGAGGTCAGTGTGTGGGTGGAAGGAGGGTCTGGTGACCCAGTGGTGAGTAAAGGTGAGTCAGAAAAAGAAGAGCGAATATTATCAACCTTTTTTTCAAAGTGGTTAACAAAGTCGCTTGACAGAAGGGAGGAGGTTGAAGGGGCTTTGGGAGGGTCCAAGAGGGTGGAGAAGATGGAAAATTGTTTTTTGGGATTGGAATAGGAAGATTGGATCTTATCTTGAAAGAAAGTGCTTTTTGCCTGAGAGATGGAAGCAGAGAAAGAGGACAGGAGAGCCTGATAGGTTAGGAGGTCGTCATGGTGTTTGGATTTCCACCGTTTCCGCTCTGCTGCCCGAAGGATGGTTCTATTAGCACGCAGTGCGTCATTTAGCCAGGGAGCAGGAGGGGACTGACGAGCCTGCCGAGATGTGAGAGGACAGAGAGAGTCCAGAGAGGATGAGAGACTAGAGAGGAGTTTCTGCAGCAGAGTTTGGAGGCAGAAGTTGGAACGAGTCAGAGGAAGGGAGGGCTGAGAGCACCGATGAGACAAAGGTAGAGGGGGAGAGGGAACGGAAGTTGCGGCGGACAGGTGCAGGATGAGAAGAGATTAGTTTGTTATGTTTGGAAAGGGGTAGAGAGAATTATATGAAAAAGTGATCGGAGGTGTGGAGTGGGTTTACAGAGAGGTTAGAAGTAGAGCAGTTCCTTGAGAATATGAGATCAAGGACATTGCCAGCTTTATGAGTTGGTGGGGAAGGAGACAGTGAGAAAGCAAAGGTGGTTAACAGAGATGTTAGTTCGTCTGTCTTCCCTGTCTGGAGGTTGAAGTCTCCGAGAAGTACAGCGGGAGGGCCAGTTTCAGGGATGTGTGAGAGGAGATGATCTAATTCCTCCAAGAAGTCCCCCAAGGCGCCTGGTGGACAGTAGAGAACAACAATGGTTAACTGTATAGGATGGGTTACTGTGACGGCATGGAATTCAAAGGTGGAAGGAGTGAAGTTAGGTAGCTTGAAGAGGGAAAAGCTCCATTTGGGAGATAGCAGGAGACCAGTGCCACCTCCTCTGCCAGTGGGTCTGGGTGTATGGGAGAAGGAATATGCTGTGGAGAGAGCTGCTGGGGTAGATGTGTTGGATGGAGTAATCCAGGTCTCAGTGAGAGCAAGGAAATCCAGAGACTGCAGGGAGGCGTAGCCAGAGCCTTAGGAACAGCTAACTGGCAGTTCCACAGGCCACCTGCAACTAGCTGTTGGATCTCAGTGGAGCATGTGGGATAGACGAGAGCAGGCCGGTTATATCGATTAGGAGATACACGGGGCCAGTGATAATTGCGAGAAGACACATAAACAGGAATGGAGAAAATACACATGATTGTAGCATGAGGGGCTAGAAAACTAAAGAAAATAAAACACCAGCGATACTTAGCTCAATCAAAGTAGGATTTGCCTCCTCTTTGCCCCCCTCGTGACTCCCGCAGGACTCCTTTGTCTTTGTCAGTCTTTGACTCCAACAGGACTCCTTTGTCTTTGTCAGTCTTCGTCTGACGCTGACCCAGGAAAGTGCTACCTAAAATGCTTCATTAATTATCTCTGAAAGTAGATGCATAATCAAATGTTTAAAGGTATCTAAAGGTGCATTACATGCATTGCATACTGTTTAAACTGCTATTATTTGATATTTTGGGGGCAGTGCAACAAGCTGAATATATGAATGATAATAATGAGGGTGAACTTGAAAAGTAACACTAACATTGAATTAAAATAGGGTGTTTTGATGAAAGAAGGTGCAGTCAGCTGTCCCTGCATGTTTCTGTGTGATCAGCGCTCTGTGCTGCAGTGACTCGCTCCACTGAGCTCAGGACTGTTTGCTGATATCATGTTTTTTTTCTCCAAAGCCACTCAGGTCAGCCCTTCAGAACTGCAAGATGTGTTCCAGGAGACCTCCTCCAATATCTTCCAGATCAACGCCAATGGTAAAAAGACCACTTATTAATGTGTGTGCGTGTGTGTGTGTGTGTGTGTGTGTGTGTGTGTGTGTGTGTGTGTGTGTGTGTGTGTGTGTGTGTGTGTGTGTGTGTGTGTGTCATTGTGCTCCCATCCCAGCATGAATACTCTGAGACCTTTTGACCCGGAACATATGGAGTTAGTCTTCGTCTCTTTAAATTCTAAGCACTCTTTAACAAGTCAATATTACACTAACTCCTGTGCAGTTTAACCCCTGCTGCAATTTGTTTTGACAAATTTGAACAGAGTAATCATGCTATTGTGCAGACCACAAAGACCACCTCTTACAAGTGGTACTGGACTGTCTCCAAGCCAACACTAGTGCGGTTCGATGGTAATGAGAAGATAAGCTAACCCAATTGGAGGAAGTAAACCAAAAGGCCACGTTCGGATCGCAACATCAAGTTTTTTTGAAATAGTGAATTAATTACAATGTAAAAGGTTTAAAAAGACTACTTAGTAATAATAGAATGGAGGTGGAATTCGTTTTTTGGTAGCCTTAAGAAGACATTCCAATTATTCTATAACCTGTATAACCTGTGTTTGTATTGCTCTTACAGTTGTCACACTGGAGAATAATCTTCAATCACTGGGGACATCTAGAGATACAGAAGAGCTACGACTGAGTCTGTGAGTCACACACACACACACACACACACACACACACACACACACACACACACACACACACACACACACACACACACACACACACACACACACACACACACACACACCACACACACACACACACACACACACACACACACACACACACACACAAGTAGTCGTATGTCTTGACAATTTAGACCACTACGCTTCAACATTTCAAATACAAATATTATGATATATTTATTTATACTGAACTATATTTTCATAGATACACATACACTCACCGGCCCCTTTATTAGGTACACCTTGCTAGTACCGGGTTGGACCCTCTTTTGCCTTCTGAACTGTCTTAATTGTTCGTGGCATAGGTGAGTAGTTGTACTCATACCACATCAATCTCGTTAGTATGCATAGAAAGTGACAGGTCACACCTATAAGTCCCGCCCCCACAAGCCCCGCCCCTTCCGGTGGATGTCCCGCCCCCACTTCCGGTTTTCAAAATAAAATTTACAAATAATTTAAAAATGATACAAATAAAAATGCTGCCCCTACCGGTCGCCCCCGCTTCCGGTTTTCAAAATAAAATAACATGAAATTTAACAACCATGAGAAAAATAAAATGCTGCCCCCTACCGGTTTTACAAAATAATAATTTTAAATGAATCACATAGTATGCATAGGATCAATGTCCCGCCACCTAACCACTTCCTGTGACCCTAATCCTGTATACAGTATTGACTGTAACTTACAAATACTTGCAAATAACATGAAATATAGCAACCATATATTTAAAAAAAGTAATGTCGATCTCTCTAACCCTCTCTCTGCTCTAAAGAGCAATGTCCCGCCACCTAACCACTTCCTGTGCCCCTAATCCTGTATACAGTATTGACTGTAACTTACAAATACTTGCAAATAACATGAAATATAGCAACCATATATTTAAAAAATACTGTCAATCTCTCTAACCCTCTCTCTGCTGTAGAGTGTGCCGTGAAAAGTTTTGAGAACAGTTTGGACATGTCGGAAGACACGTGTGAGAGAAATCATAAAACCCCCGACATCCTCTACAGGCAAATGGCGGGCGATGGGGAGGGGGAACACACGCACACACACACACACACACACACATCCCCCGCCCCTCACCCCTCTTCCGTTATGGAGGTTAGATAAATAAGAGCCAGTCGTCTTTCTCACTCTTCAATATTTTTTCAAGTCGAGAGATATGAAAAAGAGACGTCTTGATATGGGTGTAATCTGCGAGACACCGCTAGATTTGATTCAGGGTTTGTTTTAAATGGTTTGCGCTGGCTAAGGATGTTTCTTTTCAAGTTTTTGTGAAACTGTTAAGAAGTATCTGTTTTGCAAAGAGGTTATTTTCAAAAGATCTTATTTAGGTTTTAATAGTGATACCTAAGGGTATTCTCTTTTAGTTGTATGGATTTGTGAACTAATGTGTAATTACTTGTATTAACTATAATTGCACAGGATCATTCTAAGAAGAGTGAGAGGGCTAATGAGCCAGCACCATACCTCCTCTATGCATTTTCTTGACCTGTATCTGATCTTGAAAACTTGACTCTTTTAAAAAAAGTTATTTTTCATCTATCATTTTCAACCATGCAGCAAGAGATCAAATTTAAGAATAAGTAATAGTTTGTCACGATTTTACGGGAAATAGTCAGTGCGCAATGTCACATCTTAAAGACAGCTTGAACTGGATAAATGGTTAGTCTTTTTTCAAACATACCGTACGTTCTGCATGTTAGTATATCTGGTCAATCGATTTAGACCCTACTGCCCTCAATAGGGAAGTCACGCTTTGGGAAGAGGTGTTTCATTTCACAGATCCACCTTGATTTGTTGTTGTGAGGGGTGAAGGAAGAGGGACGGGGGAGGACAATTCAGAGGATGAAAAAGCAGAAAACATAACTTGTTTTGTAAAACGGTCAGCACGTCAGTTTCAAGAAAGACGTTTGCATACATAAAAAGTGTATCTTACAGTTCCTTTTGTGAGAGAATTACACACAAATCTGCAGAGTGTCACTAAAAAGTTGTACACAGGGACTGACATTCTGTATGCCGGTTTCACACGGACACAAAGTCTACTTCATTATCTACTTTTTCAGCTTTTATACACAAAAGTGTATCTTTCAGTAACTTTCTCAGAGAATTTAAGCATAAATCTGTCAAAGATTCTTAACGAAATCTACGGACACAAAGTACTTCATTATCTACTTTTCAGCTTTTATACACAAAAGTGTATCCTTCAGTAACTTTCTCAGAGAATTTAAGCACGTCAGTTTCAAGAAAGACGACAATAATTAGTAGTTAGACATTTTGGATATCGTGCGTTCTGGCAGTACTATTCCGGCTCATTGGGAAACTTTTTGGGACCCATTTAAAACCATTTAAAAGAGAAATTTTCTCTGTCGTTCTTAATGCAAAAACAAATCATCTCTACTCCCTTTGGGTGAAGTCCAGGAATGTTCTCGGAGGAGTGGACACTTGCTGTTACATGGCATAAAGCTTTTGCAGTGTGCCAATAAATGTATAGTTTCCCTAAAGCTCCATACATTTACACATATTGACTAATGACTCAGCACATGAGGGGTAAATACAAAACAAATCTAAATATCACCAATTATTCCAGAATGTGACTAGAATAGAGTCTAGAGAATGGACCCAGGCTTTGTCTTCAGCCATCAACTAAATAGGGGCGTGCTTTATTGAATCACCAGTATGTTACTCACCATTGAAGACAGTGTTGAGGGGGGCAAGCAAAGTGTACTCAGCGGCAGATTGCATGGAAGCAGAAAGGACTAGCTCAGACACCATGTCTCCAAAGGTTGACTGGGAACTTCCAACCAGTTCCATCACCTGTTTAGCTTGAGGCACAAAGGGAATTTAAACACCATTAAAAATATGGATTACAGAAAAACAATATATGTATTAATGTAGTAAATCGGGTAATCATTAATAAGGGGAAAATGTGCAAGTCTGGCATGAGCACTTGATCAATAAGGTGGATGACAATGTCCTTCTTGAGCACCATCTTGATGCCATTGACTGTTAAACTCTCGCCATCACAGCCTTGAAATCAAAGTAACGCTTCTAAAAAACATATATTTTAGAAAAGTAATGTGAGTCATGTCAAGTTATCAAGACTGCTGTGTTTCATCGAAACAGTGTTAAGAGTCACAGTCTTAAAGAAAATCTGGTCAGAAAAAGTACTTAACTTTCTACCAGTTGTAAGTTGTCATACATATAAAAAAGTAAGAGACTTACTGTTTCCTTAGTGAGAGAATTACACATAAATCTGCAGAGTGTCTGTAAAATGTCTCAAAATCTCCATTGAAATAGCGTTAAAATCAAAAAGTGCCTTTAAAGAAAATGTATTCAGATAAAGTATTTTATTTTCTACCAGTTGTAAGTTGTCATACATGTAAAAAAAAGTAAGAGACTTACTGTTTTCTTTGTGAGAGAATTACACACAAATCTGCAGAGTGTCTGTAAAAAGTCTCAATCTCAAAAACTGCAGACGCCTCAAGGAGAGAGTTGAAAAGATCCATGCAGAGTTGGGGGAGAAGAATAAGACTAATAACCAGCAGTTAACTGAAGCCAGGGACTTTTTTCTTTAAAGTAAAATAAAAATGGGAAACTACTATGCAAAACGCTCTGTATATATTGATCAGAATGTAGTCAATACCCTTTTAATAAGTGTGGTGATGAGGACGATTGAAAACAGAACGAGTAGTGACCCCTGTGTAAACAGAATGGCTGAAGTTTGTAAACTGGAAGACATTTTAGATATCGTTAGGTCTGGCAGTACTATTCCGGGTCATTGGGAAACGATTGTAAACGAAACATTTAAAGTGGTCCTGGAATCTTCATTTTCCGAAACATTCTGTAACATTATCTCAGAAATGAAACAAACATCAAAAGTGTATCATGTGCTCTCAGTGTATGCTCTGTTTGTAGATGTAATGCATCTTTGTGTCGAAAGCAGCATACACATGAATATTCTGACTGAAGTGAAAAAACTCCATCACGATATCTCCAGTAATATGGGGAATTCTAAGCTGGAGACGGTCCTGGGGATGTTACAATCAGTATATCTATTTGATTTTTGTGTGTGAAAAAATAAAAAAGTGTTTTTTTACATTTAAAAACTGTTGTCTTCATTATAGCAAGGGGGACGTGTCTGATACATGTGTATTACAGTCCTTATTTTTTGTGTTTTTCAGTGTTTTTCTGTGTGTCTGTACACACAAAGCACAAATCATTTAAAACAAACCCTGAATCAAATTTAGAGAGGACCATTAAGAGTCAGAATCTTAATGAAATCTACGGACACAAAGTACTTCATTATCTACTTTTCAGCTTTTATACACAAAAGTGTATCCTTCAGTAACTTCCTCAGAGAATTTAAGCATAAATCTGCCAAATGTTTCAAAAACAGTCTTGTTTCACTGAAATAGCCTCAAAATCACAAACTGCCATTAAGAGTCAGATGCTTTTATGGAATCTAATAAAACAGAGTATTTTCTACAGATGACTCCTCCCACTCAACGCAATAAGTCCCATCCCACTCAGCAAATCATATAAAACTAAGGACCCCCACTAAGACGACCGTTGAAAGTAGCCATGAATCTGAGAAAAACCAAGTCTGATGTAGCCTCCCCTTATTATCACCAGGATAACGGATATGGTATACAGTATGTCAATACAACTTGGTATGTTGAATTGAAACTTGTGTATATGTTGTCCAACAGTATAATCAACCAGTGCTGCTATAAGCTGCCATCACGTCTCCCCCTGCCACGGAGCGTCAGGGCATTGGAGATGATGGACAACCTGAATGCCTCTAAATCCATCTGCCCAAAATGCTATGCGAGATGAGGCTCAAGCCACATCTGCAGGAAAAAGTGCATAATAAATAAATCACTAAAAGTCAATATCACTCTGTTATTGCCACTTCTGTTAACAAGGTTACCATTGAATGTCTTAACTTTTAA